TTCGGAAAACACCCCTAATTTGGTTTTATTGATCAATTTTTAATTTGTTGTCGGCTAAGATCATGCCGAAATTTAATTAATTTTCTTAAATTAATCAGTTGATGTAGAAACAAGAAATTTATAGGTACAATCATGTACTAACGATGTACAATCGAGTACATAAGTGCGTTTTTCGAATTACTGACTTTTGTCGGGTAAGTACCCGGGGGTGAGACTGGGGTAATTCGGACACCCATTAAAAATTATTTTATCTTTTTAGTATCCCTTGTGTGCTATGTGATGGCGATTCAAGCGCTACGCCCAAGGCGTATAGATGAGCGTGGTAGTTCGGCGTGTCATGAGGTGGGCCGATACGTACTTATCTAAAGACTCGACGGTGTTTTCTGATATAAAAACTACTAAGCTTGATCAGAGAAGTCGCTTTCTTATGAATTTATTGTTCATTATTTTTTTGAGAAGTACAAACTCTCTAGACGAACATTTTTTTCTCTCAGTGTATGATATCGTTTTGTTTTTGGAAATTTTTGAGTATGAGTTCCTTCATATCAATAAGACGCATTTCCTAAAAAAAGTGTTTTTTTCTCAGTGTAGGAAACAAACTTAACTAGTTTGCTATGAAATGGACGTTTTTTTTTCGCTTCGACGCCAATGAAATGATGTTTCACGGGCGGAATTAGGAGAAATCAATTAAATGATAATACTGTCCGACGATAATATTCCTGTGGCAGATTTATTCGCCTGAGTCTATGTCTCGAGTCGTCTTAGAGTAAAGTAATCTTCATTTTATTATTATTATTTTTTTTTCATTTTTTTTAGCAAACGTGGAATCAACCCAAAAAATCTAACAACATCTGACTATATTTTTCTCTCGGATTTTGAGTAATACAATCCGAAGACAAACCATAATCATAATGTAATAAAATAAAAGCTTAACAATTATTGAATATTCCGACATCGATTTCCCAATAGGTACTGTTGAATAAAATCTATTGGTGTAATTCTTTTATGGCTTAAATTTGCCTTAAACATAAATTTTCCACGAAAACCACTCAACTTTCATAACTCATTAGAAATATTCGATCGGTATCGACATCTTATGCTGCTAGTAATAAATTTTCAATAAAAAAAAATAATTATCTCGTTACTTCCATAATATGAATCGCTTTGTTTAATCTACTTCATACTATTTGCAACACGTAATTGTATATTTAACGGTGAGCAAGTTAATACCGATAATTTCTACTTATTGACTAAATGTTGTCTAAATGGGTACATTTTTATATTTTCCTCTTAGATATTCTTCTTAATGCTGATCGCAACAGTATATGATTTGCGAATCGAAAATACACTCTGCTACATGGAGACACACGTCTGTGCTTCATGGATAAGATAAGTTTCTTTATTGAAAATTGATGACACGAGAAATCATGAATTATATTGTGGAAGAAGCAAGAGAACTTCATTTCAAAATTACGCAAAAATGACTTATTAATTGGTAACATATTAAACAAAACAATTTCCACAAATTTATCTGTCGACACGCATCTCTTAAAAATTATTATGATTAGCATTTTATTACATTTTCAATGAAAGTACACGACACGTTATGTGCGCATATTTTTCTCCATGGCAATGAAGCCAAAATAAACTTTTGTCATTTTAAAAAATTGTGAAAAACTGGTGAAACTTTCATTTATAAAAATAGTTGGTCAAAATGTATTATCAGACGGGTTCTAAAGAGGGACATTGATGCCTCAAAATCCCATTAAGGATAATCCGGCGGGATGAAGGAAATACAAGAAGGAACATTTTTTAGTACACCAATGAATCCATTAATCAAAGATTTGCTAAATTTCAGATAGCCTAGGCGTAGAAGGACAGTCCTAAACCGACTATTTATGCATGAAGTGAAATGGGGCATCAATAAGCTCAGCATTTTTTCCACTTTGCCGCTTAAACGATAAGATAGAACTAATAGCACAATTGTCAATGCCCGAATTAACATTAGATATGAACATTAAATTTGAAATTTCGTTCAGCTGCTATCCCGACTCAGGCTATCTCAACTTTTGCACATAGTTCTTTAATACATTCATCGATGTATTCAAAACTTTACATGACATTGGCTGCGTTTCTTTCATTCCCCCTGGCTTGCGGAAATATCCTTCGACTTTTCCTGTTCATAACTTTAACATTTAACAACAAAGTCATACGGTATCTTAAACTCTCTATATATGTACTTATTTTCTCATTCATAGGTTCCACTCTATTTTCTTCATTATTACCGAATTATATGTCGAAGACACGTGAATGGAAGATATTAATCAATTAAATTTAATTAAGGATGGAACTAATTAATGAAAAAAAATTGATGAAAAAGGGCTAATTGTTGTCAGTTATAAGTTGGTATTCTCGGGTGCCTCGATGTCGTGTGCAGTGGTGTTCTGACGACAGTGGTAGACATAAGCACTCACCGAGAGGTCGTCATCCGTGCGGATACATTTGAAGCTTGAGTCGCTGCACGTGCAACTGTAATGAATCAATTACAATTTTCGTTTAAATTTATTGTAATAAAATTTCTAACTATGTCGCATGTCAGTGAATACACAAAAAAATTGAACCAGAAATGAATTTCCTAAAAGACTAATCGTGTACCGGAGTGTAAAGCGAGCAGTAATTCGTCCCGAGAAAAGTAAAGAAGTATGCCCAGATAACATAAAATGTAATGTATTTTAAATGCAATTAAAATGAACTTCATCAATTCAGCTCATCCAACTAAAAACAATGTCGGCATATAGTGGGCAAATTTATCGACCAGTTTCGGTCATAGAACAATGGTCTAATATAACAGTTCTAATGGAAACAAATCTTGAATAAATTCGCCCGTTATATGCCGGTACTTTTTTCCAGTTAGATGAGCTGAATTGATGCAGTTCATGTTCTTGCCGGTCTGCACATAGCCAACGATAGTTTTCAATTAGTTTAGGTGTCTGTCGGTTGGAATCACGTTTAAACAATTCGATATGTTGTTCAGGGCATTTTCCTGAATCGATTAGTATTTTTTTCATCAAAATGCCGAATTACGTCAGCGTTGTAATGTTTTTACCACGCAGATTGATTGGACGAAAAGGTTCTGGGAAAATAAATTTTTGTCCCACTTCAGCATGCATGGCGTTTCCGGTCCCTGCAGGTATTATTGCGATGATTCGGACGGGATCTGGATATATGACACAAAATTAAGAATACGTGCAAACTTGCACTTCCTACACAGGGCACTAATTCAGGAAAGTTACGTGACAGTTTTATAAACATGGAGCAAAGTGCCGTTGTGTGAAATGGTAATTCATGTCATAAATAATTGAATTTTTCAGGACAATGCTTTTTGAGCTGTATGGCATGGTTTTTTTGTCACGACACCAAACGATCCGAGTTCTGAGCACTAACATTTGTCAGGTCTAGGGAGAAGTTAGCTCGGGTCGAGTAACAAAAAAGTATGACATGAATCTCAATTTTTATTTCAAAACGACGTAATATTTACTTGGAGTTACAGATAAATAATGTGAGAATAACGTAATAACTTTTTTGCTTTGACAACCTACCCCGACCACATCAATGTTTCATATAAAACCGTGTTCCCCACTCTTTTTCCCAAAAAAAAGTTGACTTCAATATAGATGGCCAAAAAATTTTGCATTAAAGACGCTCACTCATTGTGACCTTGGCCGGAGCTTAAGCCTAGACAATTCTCGACTGAGGCATGATAAATACGATAAATAACTATACGGGAGGGCCTGAGATTAAAAAAGAGGTGAAAAAGAGAGAAATGACTTAACAGGGGGGAAATTGCCAATAGATTCAATTTGATATTCCTTGAAAAGATACAAAAAGAAGCCTCCGGGATAGGGTAAATTCAGGCCTTTTACCACCGAAACGACGGGAAGAGTAAGGCCAGCCAACTTGCGGCGAGACGACTGATTTTACCGAAAAGAGATCATAAAGGAGGGGG